TAAACATGCATAAAAAAGTGCATGCAAAAACGCATCTGGAACACATCTAGACTGTTTCTATAGTGTGAACTGGCCCTTAGGACTTGTTCACACCATTTGTGGTGCAGAAACGCATGCAAGAGCACGCATTTTCCTGCACAGCAAAGAAACGCAATGCCCTTTGCAGATGTGCGCAGGTGCTATAATGCAAACTGAATTGCACCTCCACACATCTAGTAAACACAAATGCATTCACAGCCACCAAAACGCATGGCACCACACTACTGTGTGTTTAGGTGCAACACACATTTAAAATAGTATGCCTGCAGTATTTTTGCATGTTCTCACACGTTAGGCAGCCCATTGAAATTAATGGGCTGAGGGAAAAAAAAAAGTAAAAAATGCCACATTCACATAGGTCCTCTGGCCTGTACAGCATGAATGATCGAGTTGTTCATGTGGCTGGAGCCACCTGTTACACTATGGGGACACAGCAGCTGTATGAACACAGGTTTTAATCTGACAGGTGTGAAGGTGTGGGGAAGTGGCCCTGAATGTTCACTGTCTTTGTTCTGGGCTATACACCTGCACCCCATATGCTTGTCAAATTAGGACCTGCAGCATTTCCATAGTGTAACATATGTTGCCTGAAAAAGGCTACAGCCAAAAAAACAAACCACTGATTCACACTCTACAGGCCACAGTACCTATATGAATGAGCCCCAACCTCAATTACACACACAGCTTTATTTATTAACTCAGTACAGTTTTATCATTTAGATTTAACAGGAATTTGGTTGGGATTATGTCCATTAATAATGCTTTTAGTGTATTTTTACCATAAATATAATTTGGATACTTTCTCTGGCGGTGGGGGGCTGTCAGGTATGCTGTACGGGCCCCGTGATATCTAACAGTGGCCCTGGGTGTATGCTTGTGTCTGTGCCACCTGTATAGTTAGGAAGAACAATAACTTCTTCTATGGAATACCTTGAACCTCTGCTATGTACCTCAATGTATCTAGGAATTGGACATGTTTTCAACTGAAAATACAACAATTATTAGTAATGTTTCCCCTGCAAATGAGGATCAGCTCCTCGGTCGAGAACAGTGATCTCGCCATGTCCAGATGTGGTCTGGAATTCCACAAAAGAACGATCCACAAAGCCAAAAAAAAATAGATTTGCAAATTACCACTAAACTCTCCTAACTACACTCCCATCCACTAACACTCCCCACTATCATGTCCGGTGTGTGCGCAAACATCCTTCCGCAATCGTGAGGACGTATTTCCGGTATGACAGCTGCTCTAGCGCCTCCTCCAACAGCCGTCTTGGCATTTATTTGTGCGCCATAGCAATTTTCCACGCAGCTCCATTGTGTATATGACATTCGCGAATATATGTTTGCCGGTAAAGGCCCAAAAGGCACCATAAATTGGGGGCCTAATTTATTATTGTTAAGAGGATTGTAGAAAAAGAATAGCTAGCTGCACATTGAACGCTACCGATTTGTTGGTACACAACATTGTCTTGTGGTGCAATAGGGTGCTTTTGGTTTGTTAGTTTGGACATACTTGCATATATGCACTCTAACAAGCTAGATTTGGGCATATTATATAGGTAGCTAAAAAAGAAGTGTTAGGGGTGCTAGTATATTGAACTTGAACATGAAATAACCCCCCCCAAAAAAATACATAGTCCAAACGTTTATTGATCAAATATATATTCCACATTTATTTGGACAGCAGCAATAAGTAGGTACAGTCAACTTCTTGGTGGGAAAAAAAGCAGGATTGATGTTGCTAAAATAGAACGGTCCTGCTCATAAGAGCTTACAATCTAAAAGATTATACTTCTGATGAACTGTGCTTTCACAGGTTACAGCAGGAAACAAACAGTTAATATGAAACATTTTCAGGGCCATAAAATTAACGCATACCATCACTTAGTAGGATTATCTATCCACAAAACAGGCTCCAGATCAAAATATCAATATATTACATAAGATTACATTACATAAGTGCCAAAATAACAAACACCTCTCACCTCCCCAAAATCCCCCACACATATATTTCTGATGAGGTTTGTCCTAAAACTAAATAAGCAAGAAAACTATAGCCAAGTGCAGATTTGGAAGAGCAGAGCAATTGACATGTGTTAGGATTACAATGCAAAGATAATAAACAAATGATCATTGTACAATACTACACAAACACACTTTAGAAGGAAAAAAATGCAAAACATTTACAGCCCACATCAAAACACAGCCTGAGCGGGGTCTGGGCCAATTCAGCACAATATCTCTTCTTCCCCCCACCCCCCCAAACCCCCACAGGCAGAGACTTGCTGAAAATAACCTGGCCTATTACCTGGCCAAATCATCCACTACTGCAGGTCTTTATATAACATAGGTTTGAATTTGGAGCAAGCCAACAAGGCCCCACCCCCAATGAAGGCCACACCCACCACTGTCATTCATTTGGTCAGAGAAAGTGATTGCACCTGATTATCCAGCACCAATCCTCTTCCCACCTGCGTCAACCCTTGGTATACAGGCCCCACAAAGCAGAGTCAGAAAGAAAGCAAAAGTGAAGTGTACCTGTGCAGCATACAACAGAAAATTGAACAGGGTTGTGAAGGGGAACCCCATGGCAACATTTATAGTCACTATGGGCACAATTCACTCCAGATTATCGCATGAGTTAAGGCAGTCACATGACCACATCTCGCATGCAATACTGAAAATGTAAATTCACTTTTGCTAGTGTGCGGGATTTCCCATAAAATGGAAAAAACACTCATGAAATCAAACATAAAAAGACCTTACACACCCTGGTCACATCAGAGCCGATTTGGAAATCGTGTGACTTACAGTGAAGTTGCTGATTTCCTTGTGATTTGCAAGACATCTGACACAGATGTCTATGGAAATTGCCACAAAAGTAGTACATCTACTACTTTAGAAATTGGTGTCGGGACGCACACATGTGACCGCTCTAATAGCGGACAATAGGGTGTGACTTGGCATATGATTTGCAAGTCATATGTCATGCAAATTGCATGCCAAGTTGCACTCAATGTGACCGCTATTAGAGCATTCATATTGGTGTGGTTCAAACTTGGTCGGAGCCGCAACGATTTATAAAGTAGTGAATATACTACTTTTGGTGCGATTTGCAGAGAGAGATCTGTGTCAGATGTCTTGCAAATCGCACTTGAAATCAGCATGTCCCCTGACTTTAAAATCATGCAACTTCACTGTAAGTTTACATGCTTTAAAAGTTGGATTTGATGTGACCGGGGTGTAAGTCGCACGATTTCAAAATCCACTTTGATGTGACCGGGTGATTCCCCCCAGTCACATCGGGTGGGATTTGGCATGCTATTTGCATGCCAGGCGACTTGCAAATTGTGCCATGTATTGTCCCCCCTATTGTACAGCGCTGAGCAAACCCTTTGGCGCTATATAAACTCGTAGTAATAATAATAATAATAATAATAATTGTAAGCCAAAGTCGCAACCTATTGTCCGCTATAGGCTCTGTTTACATCCAATCTGAATTTGAAATCGTGCGACTTCAATGTAAGTTGCCCGATTTCCAAGTCACAGGGCATGCAAATCGCATGCCAAGTCGCAGCCACGGTGCGCGATTTCAGGTGCGATTTGGGAATTGAATCGTGCCCTAATATTGGATCTAATAAATGTGAATGTGAGTGTCTTAACACATGTGATTTGCTGCAGCAAATTACAAAAGTAGCTCTTGTCTAACTTTTTCTGCATTTTGTAGCGATTTTACATATAGACTACAATAGAAATAACAATGCAAAACACAATTGAAAACGCAATTATTTGTTGGGAAATCTACAGAAAAGGTGAAATTGCCAACAAAATGCGCAATTTTAAATCGCATCTAGTGTGAACCAAGCAGGCAATTCAACAAAGGAAATAAACCTTTGAAGGCATGCGGTATCTGGGGATAAGGGTCTTTTATGGATTTGGGGGTGGACTCCAAGCCATTATTTTATTACATTTTGGCATGGGGATTCCCCTCCAAATCCTTTTCTATCTCTCTCGTGCTCACTCTTCTCTCTCTCTCTTACTCAGCTCTTGGCTTGACAAACCCTTCCCAAAAGGGGCGGAGTGCAAACTAGCAAATCAATCATTAGTCCAGGCCCTTATCTCATCCCATCTTTTAACATTCACATAAAGGTGCAGCTTTCAAGGTGTTGGAACACAGACAAGGCCTCATTCTAATTCACATTCTAGGCCTCATTCTAATTCACATTCTAGGAAACATTTAGACAGAAAGCAAAGATGCTGCCAGCACATCTATGTTAGGGCAGCCACCCAGAGAGATCATGCAACTTCATTGCCGTGGTTGGGATTCAAACCGACGACCCTAGTGCTGGGAGGCAGCAGTGCTAACCACTTATCCCCTGAGTTGTGACACCCATCCAGCCTGCATTTTTTGGGTGTGAATCCACCCTAAGTCCCTGGGCAGTGTAACAAGCCAGATATCTCAATTGTAACACAAATGTTGTGCTATGTTGCCAATTCAGTTGTATGTTGGTTCTATGTATCCCAATACAAAGGATTGCAATACTAATACAGGTGTACCTCGGTTTACGAACTCCTCGGTTAACCTAATTTTCAGTTTACGAATGAAAATCCACTGAAAATAACGCCTCGGTTTACTAATTTTTTAATAATTTTTTTCACAATACGAAGTGTATGTCGGTGCTGATTTTTAAATGCAAATGCCAGTCTTTTTTTTTCTTCACTATAGTTCACAAAATTAGCTGTCACTTTCCCCAGAGTTGCAGGAAACTTTGTTTCTTTTAAGAAACTAAGAGTAAACATTGTTTTCTTTAGGGAAAAAAACTCAAAGAAAACTTTCTCTTTTAGCTGGGGGAAAGTGACGGCTGAATTTCTGAGCTATAGTGAAGAAAAAAAAAAAAAGTGATAATTACATTTAAAAACCAGCACCATAATAAATAAAATAAATGGGGTGGGGTCCCTCCTCCCATCCATACCAAACCCTTCAGGTCTGATATGGATTTAGAGGTGAAGCCCCACGCCAAAATTAAAAAAAAAAAAATGGCATGCCCCCCCCCAAACCCAGAAACTTATCCAAGCATGCAGCCCGGCAGGCCAGGAAAAGGGGAGGGACGAGCAAGCGCCCCCCTTCCTGAACCATATCAGGCCACATGCCCTCAACATGGGGGGGTGTTTCGGGGAAGGGGGGCTCCCCCCCAAAGCACCTTGTCCCCATGTTGATGGGGACAAGGGCCTCTTCCCCACAACCCTGGCTGGTGGTTATGGGGGTCTGCGGGCAGAGGGCTTATAGGAATCTGGAAGCCCCCTTTAACAAGTGGGCCCCCAAATTCCGTCCCCCCCTGTGTAAATGAATATGAAGTACATGGTACCTCATACTCATTCACAAAAAAACTAAAAGTGTAGTGTAAAAAAAGACAGGACACGGTCTTTGACAAGTTCTTTAATAAAAGAAAAATCTAAAAGAATGTACTGTTCCCGACAATGGCTCCTGCCGTTTGACTATTCAGGTGGTTTGACAGTTCTTAAATAAGTAAGGGGTGGGGCCACCCGGTTACATCAGGCATTGGACCCCACCCCAGGTGACATCGATGATGTCACATGGGGCGGAGTCACTCGGATGATGTCCACGGGTGGCCCCACCCCTTACCTACTTAAGAATGTCAAACCACCAGTATAGTCAAATGGCAGGAGCCATTGTCGGAACAGAACCTTTTTTTCTGTTTTTGTTTTTTTTTCGGGTTGGTGGCGGTGTACATGATGATTGATTTTGGATCTACTTCGGGGGACGTTCTTTTAGATTTGCCCCAAAGCACCCCCCCCATGTTGAGGGCATATGACCTGACCTGCATGCTCAGAAAAGGGTTTGGTATGGATTTGGGGGGAACCCCATGCCATTTTTTTTAAATTTGGTATGGGGCTTCCCCTCTAAATCCATACCAGACCCAAAGGGCTTGGTATGGATGGGAGGGGGGACCCCACACCCTTTTTTTTTTTTTTTTTAAATTGCCGACCTTTATTTTTAGATTCAGCTGTCAAATTATATATTATCTAGATCTTTGAAATATGTAAAACCATTACAGAAATAATTATAAAGGATAAGAAACAAAAGTAGAATCAAAAGATCTAAGGAAATCAAATTAGAATACATAAAGATATGCCTAGCTACAAATAGTGCTGTTTGCCATCTGTCAGTGGACTCCACACAGAGATTTACTATTAAACAGCGTCTAAAAAGAAAGCGCCCACAGCAGACAGCTAAATTGTGTTGTGCACATGCTCATTTCTATCCCTGCATAGACGTTGGAAAAGTGTCTAGTTCTTGACTATCATGAATTCCCTTAAAAAAACTATTTTTTACCCATTAAAAACATTTTTTTGAAATGTAATATATTGTTTAAAGTGAAGTCCAGATATTTGGGAAAGCAAATTTCAATGTGAACTTGTTTCTACGGTGATTTTTCGTTTTGTTAGACGTACTTCTAGGACGTCTGCTTTTTTAGACTGATTCCTATATTGTGCCTAGCTAGTAAATTTGCTTTCGAGTCTACTTGTTAGATTCTTTCTTTAGTAAATGTCTTTGCTGTCTAAAAGTAGACAGACTCTAATGAAAAGTGGACTTTAGTCCACGGAAATGTGTCTATGCACATTAGTAAATCAGGGCCAATGTGTCCAAACCCCAGAGTTACAGCAATAATGTATCAATGTTACAGCTTAGACGTTTCTTGCTTGACTCATGACTTCTTCAGGATACTGTCCAGATTTTCGTGATTGGATCTGTGATGGCTTCGTGTTCTAGGGTGAAGATTCTCTGTTTTTTGGATAGCGTAAAAGGCATAATCTGTCTGAAGGGTGGTCTGAATCTGTCAGCTGGCAGTCTGTTTATTGTTGCCGTTCCCTCTCATCAAAACCTTTGGCGGTGTGGTGATAGAATACTGTGAATTGCAAAACTTGGATCCTTTTTATCCTCTAAACCTGAAGACAGATTTGCCAGCATGAGGTATATGAGGCCAGTGAAAATATCACATTAAATTCTTCATATATACATTCCATACCATCAAATATGACTAGGCTACACTGCATGTATATTCTTTATATCATTTGACTAAATTCTACTCAAACTATTGCTGATGAAATTAAGAACATGAGTTAATGTAAGTACATGCTTCATATTAATTCCTTTAAGGAATGGCATTAGATAGGATCAGGAAGGTGGATGTATTCGGCATGACCTGACAGATGATATATCTTAACCATTGTCTGGAGTGTTGGATGGTCTCCCTTATCCCTTGTGGTTTTTCCTCTTGGTTCAGGATGCAAGAGCAGGCTCGCACAGAGATGGCATGATTGATGTGAAGTTTTTTCCATTCATGTTGGTTTTGTAAAGTGAACTGTTTATATATAATAAATGGATATAAGTATCTGATGATTATGGATATAGGTGAAGCAATCTATAAACATATGCACATGATATTGATTTACATTTGTGTGTTATAAGCATAGGATCCTCCATAAGAAGCTCATAAGATGCACTTAAAATGCAGAACAGCTATATATTTGTTTGATTTGTACAAAGAGGTCTAAGATATAGGTAACATTGACACATTATTGCTGTAACCCAGGGGGAGGAGACACTGAATGTTTCTTTTTTTTTTAATCTGCATCAGTTGTTTTATTATTACTTCTGCTTTAAACATTTTAAAGAATATGTGTTTTTAATCAAAAGATTTGATGTTGCATTCATAAGATGCCCTGAAAGTCCCTTTTGTACTGCATGAATTCCATTTTTAACACGTCACAACATTTGTTAAAAGTTACAAGAAATGTATATTTTTAGTGTAAACAAAAAAATAAAAATAAAAAAAATGAGCACCTCTGGTATAACCATGCATCTGATAGCTGATTTGGATTACTGCGGATTATTTCCATTTGCATGTAAAACAAAGAAACAGCTAATGATGATAAGTGATGGCTAAAATGACCAGTGGATGGTGGTTAATAGTGTGTATACTCAGACATTAGACTAATGGAACTTGAACTCAGTAAGATAAAATATAGTATATTTGGGGAACTGCTCTAAAATGCACGCAATGCTGATTTGCTGATCCACACCTCAACCAGGAGGTCATAGATCTCTAGTCATTTAAATCAAACCCACTTAGTTGTAGCAAACATGAAAAACACATTTCATTAAAATTATTTTGCATATATTTATCTTGAAGTTACAATGTTTAAGCAATAGTTTGTTTAATGTACAGAAATATGGTATAGGAACATGGCTTCAGTGGTTGGCTGTAAGACACGTAACTCATTAACCTTTGATGTCATTATTTTTCATCCATGTTTATATTCTCTGCATGTTAAATACTAAAACAATTATTTGCTTTAATATTGAGCCTCAGCCTACTAAAAATGTATTGTAATGTACAGCATGTTAATAAAAATATAATAAAACATAAAATGAGAATACAAAAACAGAGCCAGAAAAATGAGAACACCACTTAATTAATTTATATACACCCTTAAAAGTGATGGAGTCTTCTTAGAATTCAGCTAGTGTAATTTTTTTTTAAACTCTTTTTTTATATTGAACCATCAATAATTAGGCTCTGGAAGCTACTGAGTGGGATAAGGAGGGAAGACACCAAATACATTACCAAATACATACCTTTTGGCAAGTAAAACAGTTTCTACAAATACAAAGTATGCTACATGTGTATGCTCCTCACCCCAGTCATAACACAGACTGTAATAGATTCCTGACAAAGGGTCTAACCCTTACATACTTGATCCAAAAAGAAAACTGTTTTGGCTTTATATGTGCTTAAGTAAGCTCCCCCCCCCAACACATAGCCTAAGTCTTGCCATTAGTACAAGGTGCAGAGATATCCATACGTAAGCCTAATTTTGGATTTCTCACATGGCAATATTTGTGCAGCACACTGAAAACAAAATGAAGCCAGTTGTACCAAATATAATTTAATTTATTGTACTTTTATTAATGACATTAGCCTTTAATTTTTGTTTTTTCACCTTATATATTTTATTGCTTGTTATGGCTTTAAATAAGCTCAGGTATCTTAAATCCTAATAGTACTCTAACAGAGCTTGATTACTTAACAAGTGAGTGCCTTGTGATGTGTTTGTGGAAAAATGTCAAGTTTGGAAGCAAGTATCGTGGACCTGTTTATGTAACTTGATGGTGTGGATGCAGGAATAGATATCTATGTGATAGGACAGACTTGGCTAAATGATTTGTCAACCTCGGTATTTCTACTAACTCTTAAAATAATAACATGGGCTTAAACGGCCACAGTAGCCATTTTATATACAAAATTTTAGTTACAAACTGAGATCAAAAACATAAACAATAAACAACTTCAGCAATGCAACCAGGAGGGGCTCTTTGGGTGTTCTCATAGGTGTCTTCACCTTCACACCAAGGTGCTTGGCGATAGTTTTGTAGCCCAGTCCAGCCTTGTGTAGCCTTGTCCCTAACATCTTTGGACAGCTCTTTGGTCTTTGCTATGGTGGAGAGTTTGGAATCTGATTGTTTGATTGCTCCTGTGGACAGGTGTCTTTTATACAGGTAACAAAATTAGATTAGCAGCACTCCCTTTAAGAGACTGCTTCTAATCTCAGCTTGTTACCTGTATGAAAGACACCTGGTAGCCAGAAATCCTGCTGAATGATAGGGGATCAAATACTTATTTCCCTCATGAATATGCAAATCAGTGCATAATTTGTTAGACATACATTTCTTTTGAATTTTTTGTTGCTATTTTGTCTCTCAGTGTTACATTGCACCTACCATTCGATTTGTAGACTGATCATTTCTTTGTGAGTGGGCAAACATTCAAAATTATGAGGGGATTGATACTTATTTCCTTCACTGTACAAGTATTTCCATTTGGTGATTGAAAGTTTGCAAGAAAGAGGCAAAATGGAAATGTAGTCTAGCTATTGTCATCATCACTTTCTCTATGCAGAAATGACCCATGACCCAGTATAAAGATGATTGGTGGGAGTTAGTTACCCATGGCCCAATAAAGGATGATTGGGGGAAGTTGGTTGTTTGGAATTAAATACAGTTTTTACAAAGGAAATGGAGGAGTATAATAAAAAAAATCTGTATTGTTAATAACACATCACTGGCCACTTTCATGACTTCCGGTGGGTTGGAATCAGCCTGTGGAATGCACGTCATACAGGGTGAGCGGCAGGGTGCAGCGCTCAATTCTCTTCAATGCTATTTTGATACTGCCGGACAAGTAGGGACATGTAGAATATGGGAACCACAGAGAGGGGAGGAGG